CTTAATTATTGCAAGAACAAAGTCTTTGCGCTACTCCCAAATCCGTGGAGCCTAATTGTTAAGGTCCTTGCACTGCCACTGGTTAAGCCTTATTTAGCTCATTAAATTTTTTTAAAGCTTCGTTAACCCATTATGGCATTTGTTGTAATATAGTATGTTAAAAATGACACATTTTATTTATATCTATTTTATCGATAGAATATTATATAATAATAAAATTTCTAATAAATTGTCTATTGACTTAGAAGTACTGTATTGATTTAAATATTATTGATAAATTGAATTGGGCAAAGAAATTAGATTTTAAAATAAAATCATAACTATATCATTAATATGATTATCCGTATTTGTGAAAAATATGATTGGTTAATACTGTAATAACGCGATTTTGTTTATCAATTATCCATTTTTGTAAAATACAAAAAAATATGATTGGTCAGTATCACGATGTTTATCAATTATCCATTTTTGTAAAATACAAAAAATTATGATTGGTCAGATCACGATGTTTATCAATTATCCATTTTGTAAAAAAATACAAAAAAATATAATTGGTCAATTACTGAACGTCTGGCAGCAACCATTTCATTTTTGATTATTGCTGGTTTACCTTTATGGTAAATTGTGGCCGATTCTACTAATATTTTATTTACGCGACTTGCAACCCTTTCACCCTTGGCAAATTCACGATTCCAGTTATTTGCTTCTGGGTTTACTTCTTGTCTCTCTTCACTAGTATCTTGATTGATCACTGTAATATGACTGGGCACAAAGAATTGATTAGATTTCTTTAGCTCCTTTATTATTTTTGTTGCCTTAAATGATATAAGTGCCAATTCGCAAAGGATGTATAATACCCTTGAATAATTATAATTTTCTTCATTGTTAGAAAATTTTTCCCAAATATTTTTAATTTGACTTTCGATATTTTCTTCCTCTTCATCCTCTTCAATTTCAATAGCTTCTGGTAACGAACTTGACACCGGCAAAAAAATCGAAAATCAATCCACGTGTCAAATATTTTTTTAAAAATTTCTTTAAGAATGTTAGGAGCATCATTATGAATCATTATTGGTATTGGATCTCTGTTAATTTGAATATCAATTACTTTTTCGTCTCGTTTTGTTAGTTTTTTTAATTATATTTTGTTAAATTTTTGTACTAAATTAATAATTTTTGTTTATAAAACTCATACCTGATAATCAATTAAAATGTTTAATGAATAAAAAAACTTAATTAGTTGATGGTTTAAATTAAAGAATACGTCAATGTTTTCATTACTTGTTCATCATCTTCGGCTGTACAGATCACAATATGATCGTTTCATATGACAAATAAAAGCTTTAAATTTAATGCACCAGCTTTGGCCCCAGAGAGGTCCAACTTGGTGCATTAAATTCGAGACAGAGAGTCTAATAACAGAAAGACAATTCTTTAACTTTAATGCATCAACTTTGGTCCCGAAGTGGCTCAAATTGGTGCATTAATTCAAGACGGAACATTTAATGACAGAAAGGAAACTCTTTAAACTTAATGCACCAGCTTTGACCCTGGAAGGACCCAAATGGTGCATTAAATTCAAGACGGAACATCTGATGACGGAAAGGATATGCTTTAAATCTAATGCATCAGCTTTGGCCCGGAGGGGTCCAAATTGGTGCATTAAATTCAAGATGGAACATCTAATGATGAAAAAGCTTAAGAAAATTTTTTTTACCGAAATAAAAGTAAGAATAAAACAAACAAATTTATTATCTTTAGCATATTATGGGCGGCTTCGCCGCCGCATGATCATGTTCTAGTTAGAAAATCGATAAAATTTTCAAAAAAAAACGTAAAAACGGGCTATTTTAATATGTGACACTCCATATAATGATCGGTGTATTTTATAAATAAATTTCTGACCATAGACGAAGCTATTTTCCAAGGCTATTACAAATAGATTTATTCTTCTTATTCAAGAAAAAAAAATCATTTTATTTTATTTAAATACGAGTACAGAATAAAAATAATCTAATACAGTCGTACTCCTCTATAATCACCTTCTATATAATCACCTTAAATTTTAAAAAATTCATTAATGAACTTATAAAAAATACTTCTATATGAGCACATCATAATAGAATTTTTATAATCACATATTTTTTGTATATAAGTAAAATAAGAAACTATACTAAGAAAAACAATATTTAACATGAATATCGAACAAAATTTTTTAATACAAAATCTTTCTTTGTTTACTGATTTCCTCCTTTTTTTTTGCCACCCAATTTTGAACATAATTTTTATCATAAGTTGTAGGAAGCGCGTCTAACTGACTTAAAGAATATGGAATAGCACCAAAATAATTATTACAAGATTTCAAAATTGTATCCGCCTTTTTATTATACAAAATAAAATGCGGTTTTTTGGCTTCAAATTTGGATACCGTGGTAAGTTCACTTAAAAGTTTAGTAAAAAACCCCTGAATACCTAATAAAGCGGTAATAAAATTCTGTATTGCCGGACAAAGTGCTTCCCTGATACAAGCAGAAGCCTTTCCTGCTAAATCTGATTCTTCTATCGCTGCAATTGCATCAACTTCATAATCATCACCACTCATAGCTAAAAGTGGAGTTCCAACTACATTTACGCCTGGGACAAAAAATAACACTATAGCCCACTTATATCTCTTATCTGCAGCCTTTTGAAGTCTTTCTGCTTGCTGTTTTTTTAACTTTACATCTAAATCCAATGACTTAATTACATCATCTGCGTTTTTTGCATGAGCGTTAAAATTTTTTAATATTTCTCTATGGTATTCTATCGCAATGTTAACTTCTTCATTATGTTTTCTAACATCCTCAGTTATATCTGTTATACAAGTCGTAAATTCATCCCAGGATAGTGCTGAATAATATTCAAAAGTATCTTTAACTGCCTGTACCACTTTAGTCGAATGTGGAAAAATAATATCACCATATATCTTGGCGTCATTAGTAACCTCCTGGCGAAGGTTAACAAATCTCTCATTTGAGGAATCATTAGTAGTATAACATGCGTAAAGAGAAGAACAAGCACAATAAAGATTAAATGTAGCATCATCGATATTTAGTTGAAGGTTCTCGACATCAGATCTAGGGTCTTTCACTTCCTATATTATTTTGAATTAGAATATTTTATGTAATAAATACAAGCTTATCTAAGTAAAATGAAACGAACCATTTTAAAATTAAAGAATAATAATTCGTTGACTACGACACTGTCACTTGTATTTAAATAAAAAAGGTATCAAAGATAATAAGATTTTTTTTTCTGCTTCAGGGACAAAAGAATCTTAAATAGGTTTGGGAATGCTGAAAACGCCTACCGCTGCAGCAGGCTAAAATAATCAGGGATGCACAATTTATAATTGCAGCAAAAAACAATTTTCATCTTATTTTTAATGTTATAAATTCAGCAAAAATAGTTCCTCTACGCTGATCGAAATAATTAATTATCGATAAAATAAAATACGTAACTACAATACAGGTATTCGGCATACTTCTCATCAGTGTTAAAAATTCGTTGTGCATGTATTGTTATCTGCAAAACAATTAACAATTACTGTGCAATATGCACAGAAAATAAAATAACGTTCCAGTATAAAAAAATTTTTTTGCACAGCATATTTGTGCGGGATTTTTAACATTACTTCTTATTAAAATTATACACATTATCTACATTATCTGAAAATTTTATCACTTGAAAGCTGAAATAACAAAAATATCTATTTTTCGGAGCGTAGCGGAGTACATTTATGTACCCACCTAATTTGAACTGTAACGACAGCGATAGATAATCACGAATTTTTTAGATAATCTACCTTTCCTTAACAGTATTATTTATGCTTAGAAAGCTTGAATGCTAGGGATGTTAAAAAATCCATCTAGTCCAGTAATATTATTTGGATAATTTTAAGATATTTCGATTATTTCAATTATTTCGATAAATTTAGATTAATTTTGATAAGTTTCGATTATTTTTGCAAATATTTTATAAATTTCGATTATATTCCATTCTTTGTCATATTAAAATTCAAATTGCGTCGAAATTCTTGTGCCTGGATTGAAATATTACTTCTTTGCGACATCCTATTTTTATATAATTTAGTAACAAAGTCGAATCTGATTCCGAAGGATTATGTTTTTATTTTTGTATATAACGATAATAATAATATGTATAATAGAAAAAAAGGCATTCACCAAAGAAGCGAATTGATACCAAGCCACGAGAATTTTTTTTTGTGAAAAAGTTTTGGTCACATAGTCATAGTGTGATGCATTACTATCAATCAGAATATGAAATAGTGTAACGTGATATTGTTTTGCATTTCACTAGAATTTTTTTTTGTGAAAAAATTTTTGGTAGCATGTTCATAGTGTGATGCATTGCTACCAATCAGAATATGAAATAGGGTGTAACATGATATTGTTTGCATTCTGATTGGTCAATTTGAAAGATCTGCAAAAAAACACTTTTTTTGACGGTCCCTGAAATACACTAATTGTAAGTACGTACGACGTACGGTGCAGGAAACCTAAAACCTCATCACTTTATATAGAATAAAAAAAAACCCTCCAGCTCATTGAAAATAGCTAAATTCAGTAGCGGCTTAAAAAATAGCTCCTATTAAGTACAGTACATATTATTCTTGGTGTATGATTTCTATGATCATTCACTCTATTGAGATTGATAATTTAAGAAATTATTTTCAATAAGATACGCATTATCTTAAGGTTTTTAAATTTCCTGCACCGTACGTTGGGTGTTCGATGTACGATGTAAATCAAATCTATATGTAGTCCTATATGAAAATCAATTATAAAAAATTTTTTCGTGAAACATGTGTAAAATACTGCGGAAACAGTTTAATTTCGATAAATCTAAGTCTTTTTATTAGTTTTTTTTTTTGATTATGAAAAAGCTCTTTATTACATTAAAATAATATCCACTGAACTTTATATAATAATATCCACTAAACTTTATATGAAATTTCTAAACAGATTATTATGTAGAATATCGAGACTCAAATTGAAATATACAAGCAATCTCCATTTTTCAAATGGTATCTCCTCGATAATCTACATATTAATCTATTAGAGATTTCACATGGAAGTTCAGTGAACGATATATATTATTGCGCTTTTCATATTACTGTGACCAGCAAATTTCATGTATCACACCGGAAATCAGGAATCTAGAAAAATTGCCAGTCTATGATTGGTCAAAAATTATTTTGTTAAATTTTTAGCCAATCATAAACTGGCAATTTTTCTAGATTCCTGATTCCCAGTGTGATACATGAAATTTGCTGGTCACAGTAATTTGAAAAGCGCAATAATGTAATAGAAAGTTTTTTCATAAACTAAAAAATAATGAATTATCATATTTAATGATGTTTGACGCATGACGCAACTTGCGTCATTGATGCATGACGAAACCATTTCGTCAGGTAGGTTCAAGTTGACGAAATGCCGAAACTCGTGACGAATGACGGAACTCATGACGAATGATGATATTATGAAGAAACTCATGATAAATAACAAAGCCCATAATGATTGATAAAACACAAGACTATTATTCATTCCTTTCATAATTAGTCCATGTGAAGTTAATTATTATATCTACCCGGTTACTATTTTCTGACATTGATCCGATTTCACCCGATGATCTGCACCAATCACCCGAATGTATCCGATAGGTCTAACGAACTACCGGTAATAAAAAAGCCATCGACTTCAGATTCAATGTATTGTAAAGATAAAAATTAATCTTTGCATGCTTATTGATTTCGCGTTAACCTGTTATAACTGACGATTTAATATAAACAGGGTTTATTGTCAATTAAAAAATTATGTTTTAATATGAATCAAATGAATTTTCATGATGAAATAATTTTAAAAAAATTTAACATTCAGAATATCCAAAGGCCAGTGTAAAGAAGCTTGTAAAAGAGAGTCAACTGTATATTTATAGTTTATTAGTAAATTAATTTTGTCAAGAGTTTCGTCAATCGTCGGTAGATGCGTCAGTAGTTGCGTCAATCGTCAGTAGTTGCGTCAATTGCCAAAGTTGCATCAGACGAAACCATTGCGTCATTGCCAAAATAGCTGCATCAAACATCATTAATCATATTCGTGCTGATAATAAAAATACTGCGGAAATAGCTAAAAATTTAGGTTTTTTGATTAGTTTTTAGTTATGGCAAAAACTCTTACATTAAAATATACTATTCACTGAACTTGTGAGAAATTTCTAAATATATTAATATGTAGACTATACAATTAGTGATGTGCCACGTACGGTACTATACGTACAGTACTGTACGCTAAAATTTTTGCCGATCACCTTTATATGAATCATGTCAGCCAATCAGATCACTAGAAACAACTATACGTACTGTACGCTAAAAAAAATCCAAAAAACATCACTAGATACAATTTCAATTTCTTATATATTTCAATTTGTATCTTCTCGATATTCTATATAATAATCTGTTTAGAAATTTTACATGAGAGTTCAGTGGATAGTCTATTTTAATGTAATAAAGAGCTTTTTTCATAATCAAAAAAAAAACCAATAGAAAGACTTAGATTTTATCGAAATTAAACTGTTTCCGCGGCATTTCACACATATGTTACACGAAATTTTTTTATTGATTTTCATATAGGACTACCTATAGATTTGATTTACATAGTACATCAAACACTCCAACCATACATGCATGAATAGTTCAATTAAAAAATATTACAGCGTTTAAGTAGCTTTACGTGTTACAAGTTATTGATACGAATCAATAAAAAATCATTAAATTTCGGCCATGTATCATCATCATTAAATGGCATATTGTTATCAGTTCTAATTTCCTAGTAATAACCAATTTCTTAAAAACTTTTTTACTCTGCAAAAAATTTTTTTTCATTTTACAATTTCAATTTAAAAAAGCATGGATGAAGAGTTATCACATAGTATTACTCGCAATTTAGGTCAATTGAGTTTTACTGATTGTCAAAATTTGGCCGATAAAGGAGATTCTAATGGCAAATTCATGCTTGGTTATTGTTATGAACATGGAATTGGAGCTGAGAAAGATGAATATAAGGCATTTGCTTACTATAATGAATCTGCAGATTTGAATAATTCTTATGGAATGATTCAAGTTGGCAATTGTTATCTTCACGGAATTGGAGCTGAAAAAAGTGAATGCCAAGCATTTTACATGTATAAAAAATCGGCAGATATAGGAGATTCTAACGGAATGAATTATGTTAGCCATTGTTATCTTCATGGAATTGGAGTTGAAAAGGATCAATATAGGGCATTCACACACTACCAAAATTCAGCAGAGATGAATAATTCTGACGGAATGTTTCAAGTTGGCTTTTGTTATTATTATGGGATTGGAGTTGAAATGGACAGACATAAAGCATTTGAGCATTATTTCAAATCGGCTAAAATGGAAAATTCCAATGGAATTTTTAAAACTGCTATTTGTTATTATTACGGAATTGGAGTGGAAAAGAATGAAGACAAATTTTATGAATGGATCAACAAGTAAGAATTTTGTTACAATATTTTGTAATTTAAATATCACTTATACAATTTTAATTTTAGGGAGTAAGTATAAAGAATATTATTAATCTACAAATTAAAGTCTGCAATTTAAGTTCACCTATTTAATTATATTAATTTAGTCCGTGAGTATAAAGATGATTATTTATTTATTAATTAGTGAAATTAAAAGCATGTAAATACTCATTTATAAATGTTTAATTCATTTAGCTTGTGAGTATAAAAATGATTTAAGGTAGAATCAAAATAATGAATACTTATTTACAATTACCTAACACACTTCTTCAATTAGTGAGTAAGTATAAATATAAATTACCGTATTTCCCGACATGTGTACCTGGGTATTTCTCTAGCCCATTTTGTTACATGTGTAGGGGGTATACTGTACGAGCACTTCTATGTTTTTGATATATTTTACTATTATATGCCCGGGTACACGAGTATGATACCCTCATATTTATATACCTGGGTATAAATCAAAATCTTACCTTCAAAACCGTTGCAGGGTACAGTACACAGGGTACATATGTCGGAGAAATATGGTATTAATAATGATCACAAATCATGAACATAAATATTTACTTATCTCTAAATACTTATTTACAATTACCTAATACCCTTCTTCAATTAGTACGTGAGTATGAAGATGATTATTGATTAGTAAAATAGAATCAAAATCATGTTCACAAATTATAAAAATAAATACTTATCTCTAAATACTTATTTACAATTATCTAATACCTTCAAAATTGGTTTATTTAGCTAGTGAGTGTAAAGATAATTTATTCATTAGTATGATATATAAATACTTATCTCTAAATATTTTTTTAACAATTATCTAATATTCTTCTTCAATTAGTGCGTGAGTATATAAGATAGAATCAAAATAATGTTTACAAACCATTAACATAAATACCTACATCTAAATACTTATTTCTAAATACTTATCTCTAAATACTTATTTACAATCACCTAATACCCGTCTTCAATTAGTAAGTAAGTATAAAAATGAGTTATTAATTAGTAAGATTGAATCAAAATCATTTTTATAAATCAAGAACATAAATGCTTATCTCTAAATACTTATTTACAATTATCTAATACCCTTCGAATAATTTCATTTAGTTAGTGAGTATAAAGATGATTTCGTTAGATGATAGAATCAAAATAATAATCACAATTATGAACATAAATACTTATCTCTAAATACTTATTTACAATTATCTAATACTCTTCTTTAATTAGTAAGTAAGTCTAAAGATGAATTATTAATTAGTAAGATAGAATCAAAATCATGTTTACAAATCATGAACATGAATACTTATCTCTAAATATATGTCTTTAAATACTTATTTCCGATTACCTAATACTCTTCAAATTATTTCATTCAGTTAGTGAGTATAACGATGATTTATTAATTAATATAATAAAATCAAATCATGATAATAAATCATAAACACTTATCTTTAAATACTTATTAACAATTACTCAATATTCTTCAATTAGTGAGTAAGTGCAAATATAAATTATTAATTAGTAAGATAGAATCAAAATCATGATCACAAATCATTAATATAAATACTTACTTATTTATAAATGCTTATTTACAATTACCTATCTCTAAATACTTGTCTCAAAATACTTATTTACAATTACTCAAATCATTTCATTCAGTTAGTAAGTATAAAGAATTTTTTATTAGGATGATAGAATCAAATCATGATCACAAATCATGAACAAAAATACTTATCTCTAAATTCTTGTTTCTAAATAATTATTTACAATTACTTAATACCCTTCAAATTATTTCATTCAGTTAGTGAGTATAAAGATGATTTATTAATTAGTAACATAGAATCAAATTTACAAATCATTATTATAAATACTTATCTCTAAATACTTATAATACCTAATACCCTTCAAATCATTTCATTCACATTAATTTAGTCGGTGAGTATAATGTTTAAAATTACAATGTATTTATATGAATAATGATACAAAAATTATATGATTATAAAGGAATCATAAATACGGCAAATGTACATATTGTAATAAAAATAACACACAACCAGCATGGTGTCTGACATGTGATCCCGATATCGCTGCACAAGGATGGACAAGTAGAAACAAAGACATTGATGATTGCATCAGAGAATTTCAACTTAAAGCCAAGAAATATGAGAATGTAATTGAATGGATTCCATTTCATAGATTATCCAATGTTAAAAAAATTGGAAAAGGAGGATTTGGCTCTGTATATTCTGCAACCTGGTTAGATGGCATACGAAAAATTGATAGTGAATATGGTAAAAATAATTATGTAAGAGCACGTAAACCATCTAGTACCGTTGCACTCAAGACTTTATCCGGTTCTAAGAGAAATAATTTTGATTTTTTAAAGGAAGTAAGTTATTTACTTGTATAATAATTATCTAACATTTATTTAATTAATTCATTTAAATTCGTAAAGTTTATAGATAATATGGCATGTAGATTAAATTTTAGTAAGCTTGAAATTTATGGAATAACTCAAGATACCAAAACAAATAAATACTTAATAGTGTTTCAATATGCTAATAAAGGATGTCTTCGTGAATATTTAAGAAAAAATTTTAGATTACTTACTTGGCGGGCTAAATTACAATTACTTAAAGATATTTCAGAAGAGTTAGATAATATTCATAGATTTGCAAGCTACGTTCATGCTGACTTTCACAGTGGTAATATTTTGCATAACCAACGTAATGATGAAAGTGAGTTGCAAACTTATATCACAGATCTCGGATTGTCTAGAAAAAAAGATAAAATTGTTTCGGAAGGCGAAATTTATGGTGTCATGCCCTATGTTGCTCCTGAAGTTTTATTAGGCGAAGGATTTACTCAAAAAACTGATATTTATGGCCTTGGTGTTATTATGGCTGAAATGTCAACTGGAAAAGGACCTTTTGATGAATATGAATTTGATACTAAACTTGCTGTAAAAATCTGCAATGGAATGCGGCCCGAATTTGCTCCTGGAACTCCTGACTGCTATGTCGATTTAGCAATGCAATGCATGCATTCTGATCCACAAAAACGGCCTAAGGCTTGGGACATTAAATATAAAGTTGAAGGTTGGATTAAGGAGCTAGCAAGTTCAGATAAAAAAAATGAAATTAAAAAGCAATTTTTAGATGCAAATAAAATTATTAAAACATTGCTAATAAACTCACAAAGTCATTCAGATCATATGTACGCTAGCAAAGTTATTAGCACAAAAATTATTTCAAATGCAATTAAAGAAGGTATTAATTTTTATTAATTTAATTATGTTTATTCATTTAAAAATAATAATTTCTTTTATATAAATTTGTCTCAAGCTGATTCCGCTCAAATTTAACTTGATATTACTAAGAATTAAATAAAGGTTTGCATACCATAAAATTTTTATATATTAAAATATAAAATTTGTAATCATGTAACAAAATAATATTGTTATAAAAGAATTCAGATGAATTAATAATTTTTTAAAAAGTTATTTTTTGTTATAATATTTTGGTAATGTGTTAGTTAAATAAAGATCAAGAAAAATAATGAGTAAAAAAGAAGTTGTATAAATACAATTTAGTATTTGATTTAGAAATTTTTTTAAACTGTATGTTTAGCAACAATAATAAAATATACAATCATTCAATATACAAGTATCCAAGTAAGTTTTGCAAATTTATATTCTTAATAATTTTATGGGTATTGTAATTTATCGCTATCGTGTCTGAAGTTGGCCTAAAACTGCTAGCTAATGCGTGCAGGATGATCTAATTTGGGGGCTAATTTTAGTCTGGTCCAATTTCAGGCACCTGAAGTTGCAACTTTAGTCGGGTGCCAACTTCAGGCACATTGTCATAGTACTTGATCAAATTCAGTAAAAAAAATTTATTTTAATTCTACAAAAATATAGAATTAAAATAAAAAATTTTTACTGAATTTTATCAAGTTGTTATTGAGAAATTTTCGCTAGAAGTTTGAAAATTATAGATAATGATCCGGACTAATTCCGGATGGATCGTCAGATCGATCTGCCGAATTTTTGTTGAACGACTAAACTATTCAAAAACGATAAAACGAATGACAGGCACTAATATTTCTGCCCGGTATAGTACAACAGCGCCTGGAATAGGGTGAGTGGCACAGAAGTCGTAGGCATGCCACCCTGGCATGCCTATGGTAGCATGCCATAGGCATGCCATTTATAAATGTCCCGAAAGGTTCCGAATCGAAAATAAATTCTGGAAGAAAAATTGGAGCAATGCACCGAAATATTCCGACGTTATTTTTATCGTAAACGATAACTGACCAATCAAATTAAGAATATATATCACGTGGTTCAATGGCATGCCAAGGTGGCATCCTGGCACAATCTTTAGCAGTTGGCATGCCATATGGCATGCAAAATTTTTTAGCCATGCCACTCACCCTACATACTGGTCATATAATGACATCGGATTAACTCCAGTCGTCATATCTGGAAAATAGGAAAGCTTAGGACCAGATAGTCTATTATTTATAGTATTACTACTATTACAGATTTCTGTAGCACTTAATTTTATTGCATCTAACCAACCATGTGACTTATTTCAGCATCGGTGGATGCTGAAATACTATGATGTGTATTTGATCTGGCTTTAGAGTTAGCTTTTGTTTAATAGTAAAAGAAGAACTAGTCATTGTTGCAGTTGCAAAGAGCCACAAAGACCGGAGGAATTAAGGATCTTGAGTGGAGTTGCGATGTGTAAAGTATGCTACCGAGACTTTAATGAAAGAATTCTTGACGAAAATGATTTGCGAAGAGTAGAATCTTTCACCACTGGAGAAGGAAAGGGGTTACTAGTAAGTTGCCAAATTTGCAAAAAAGAAAAACAAGGCATAATATGTATAACTTAGGATCCACCCGTTGGTTCTGTAAATTCAAGCATGGAAGACAAGTGAAAACATAAAATACAATAAAAATTATAATCTGAGGACCAGGATATTACATTATACTGAATCAAATAAGAGTGCTGGAAGCTAGTACAATCTCAATAAAAATGAGATTTATGTGATAGCCCTCTTACTTATTTCTCAATCAATTATATTGTCTTGATAAATAAAAATGGTATAATTATTATAGTTATATTTTTTTACTTTGGCAAATTTAGTTTGTCTTTATTAAAAAAACCAAATGAATATAAAACTTTTTGGTAAATTTTAGTGGAAATTGGGTCTTTCATTGTGTATAGTTATAGGTGTGATATTCATGTGATCAATCTTTGAGTAACAAATTTTCATAATGTATGCTTGGTTTCTACTAACACTCTCAAATATTTGAATTCTAAATTTTTAAATCATGAATAATTAGATTCAAATAATTTTATTACAGTTGAAATTTATGATAATACAATTCTAATGATACCAAAATTTTAAATTTTTTTGAGATATTTCAATATTTTATTTATTAGCTTGATACAAATTTTTAAAAAATGTTCACAATGTAAATTTTATTGTTGAAGTCACATTTGATAATAATTATAAATAAAAGTAATATCTCTGTTTTTTTCTTTCATAAATCCAATGAATAATTCCTGTTTACTGTTATCATCTTTTAAAGAATTCTTAGACGTTATATAATAATAGTAAAACTTTTAAGAAAGTCGATAATAGTATTTTCATTTTTTGTCCAACAAAAAGAAGTATTATTTGCTGCAAAATTTGTTTCGAAATTTTCAAATTTCTTATCGACTATATTTTCTATATTTGCATTACAAACAAATACAATTGTATCCTTTTTATAGGAGAGTAGCATATTATTAATGGTGTAAGCATCATCTTCATTAAAGGTTGCATGATTCCAAATGATAAGATTACAAAACCTGTCAAAAGATCGACAGTATTAATCACTTCCTGTTTTGGACGATTACGTATTGTGACATGACGAATAAGGAACACAACAAACATGAAAGGCCAATCACGTGTGTAATGATGAAACAAAGCTCAAGTCATGAAGTTATAAATTAGAGATATACAAATTTCCGAGGTCATATGTATAGAATTTTTACCTCTACGGTACAGGTTAAAGAGCCCTGAACAGCACAGAGTGTTAGGTCATCGAGTATGATATCAGACCGTTATAGTTTAGATTTTTTTTTACGAGTTTTTGTCTTAGCTAGATTCATATTCCTCTGCCCCCTTCTCATTAGTTCCCCTTACCCATTAGTATAGTTTTTTTTTCTTCTTTTCGCTTCTTTATGAAAGGATGTCATCAGTTTGGCAGTGTCTAATTGTAAGACAGTGGCCTGATATAACTCCTGGGATTCCAATAGGGTTCCTTTGCCCAAATACTGTTGCAATTTTATAATCTAAGAAAAATTTGATATGTTTATATTCTTTTATATAGCACTAGAAAAAGTCCTCATGATTCATCTACAATCATTTTCTCAGAGCTTAATAACATAACATCTAACCTAAATTCATCAACATCAGACATATCTTCAACTTCTTCACAATTTGGATCTAATAATAACAACACACATCACTCACATAAAGGTTCTCATCATACTTCTAACATAAACTCCAACTACTCTCTGAATCTGAATATTGCAACTCACAATATTCAAGGATACAACAACCCAGAGAAAAAACTATTATGGGAAGAATATTGCATTCAGAAAAATCTCCAAATTATCAGCCTAACTGAAACGAAAATTGCAGAATCCAATAACAAAAAATTTCACAATACCTCACATTTTTCATATTACTGGTCAAACTGCCAAACCTCTAAAGAAGGTACATGCATTATGATCAGAAATAATTTGCAAACATACATCCACAACATCCTATGTTACCCAGGAGGAGCCATAGCAATAGACTTCTTCTTCAAGCACGATTATAAGTTCTGAATTATTTCAGTATACCTCTCATCAACTGATAATGTAACCAGATACAATACACAGTCCAAAGTGATCCAATGGATACAACAAGCCCTACAACAGCAGCTACATATAATAGTGCTTGGTGACTTTAACTCCAGCACCCAACCAACAATTTCTAATGCGACAAAATATCAACTTCTTAACTACCTTCTTAGCATTAACATGTATGATCTGGCAGATCATGCTAACAATACTAGTGATACCTGGCATAGCAGCAGACATAGCAGCAGAATTGACTACATTTGGGCTGACGAACCACTCATACCTTGTCTAACTAACTTCCAAATCAATGACTCAGCTGAAGCCACAAACAGTGACCATCAAATACTCTTATCTCAATGGCAGCTTCCATTCGCACTTAACAAATATAGAAATAAAAACAAATGCAAACGCAGAGTATTTAACTACAAAGCCATGAACAAAGAAAAATAGGAAGAATTCTCTAATGAAATTGATATCAATATGCAACAATCTGACCTTACTAATAATACACAAAATGCAGACTCACTAGAAAAACACTGGCACAAAATATACACCTGTATTATTTCAGCTGCTCTTCGACACATCCCTAACAAAAAGTACACTATTAAACACTCCTTTCACACTTTTTCTCCGAAAGCCACTGCATTGCACAGAGATCTTAAATGCATCGGCAGTATAATCCATAGAACCAAACAATTAGTTACCAATTCCCAACCTATCTCTTACAAAATTCTCTCAGATATTGATAACATAAATTTGGCACACAATTTTGATATTCCACATCCATTACATAACTTACAATTACTACCTCAATGGATATCACTAACTAAACAATCATGGAAAGCCCTATACTATGCCAGAAGTCTAGAAAACGCACAACACCTTTGAGAACATATTAATAATGCAGTGAACAACAGATGTGAACGCTTAATTTCTGAACCAACCAAAATGATCAACAGCATTCTCAATAGACATACTGATCCAGTACACTTTCACAACATCAAAACAGACAACAATATTATAACCAGGCCTACCGAGATACTCACACATATACAACAACATTACTATCAGTGGACTCAACATCAACCCTATGATACTGTTGTCTTCAATCAATTCTGGAAAGATGAATACGAACCTAAATCATCAATAGACATGAATTGGTATGTTTCTCTACTCCAACCAATTACAATTGATGAAGTAACACAAACTATGCATCAACTTCCTAACAATAAAGCCTGTGGACCACTTGGAATAAGCTATGAAATGCTTAAACACAGTGGACCACAAATGCTTCAAGCAATTACTCACCTATTCAACAAATGTATACAAATGAACAATATACCCAAGCAATGGAAAAATAGCAGAATCTACCCTATTCCTAAAAAATCACACTTTGATGGAAACCTCAACAACACACGGCCAATCAGCCTAATCGAACATACCAAAAAACTATATACAAAAATCCTTACCAACAGACTCTCATCAGTCTTTACCAAGTTCCCTATACTCAACCCTCACAATTACGTCGCCCTCCCAGGGAATAGCACTAACACACCTATACATATACTTAACAACTTTATAGAAGATGCCAAATGCAATAACAAGTCACTCTGGCTATTATCACAAGACATGAGCAAAGCTTATGATTCTGTTAATATTGACCTTTTAGAAAGGGCACTTACCAGAATCAAATTACCACCATCAATTATCCTAACTATTCGCAATCTACTAACATCACGCACAAACCGAGTTATTACTAATCTGGGGCTAACACCATCTTACTCTGTGGAAGATGGTATTGATCAAGGAGAAACAATAACACCTCTTCTTTGGAGAATCTATTATGATCCACTTATTAACCATATACATAATACATTTAAAGGATACACTATCTCTACAACTAAGCTAACATCACTATTCCCACCCAAATATCAAACAAACTCAGCCAACACCTCAGTACTCGCTTACATGGATGATACACTATGGATAGCAAATTCAGAACAACAACTACAAAATATTATAAATACTGCCTCAACATTTTATCAAATGGCAAACATTAAAGTTAACCCCCACAAATCCTGCCTTATATCTAATTCTGAACACACGCCCCCCTTTAGTTTCATGAATTCAACAATACCCACACAAGCTCTTCATACACCATTGAAATTCTTAGGCTGCTGGTATACAGCAACCAACAAGCTTAATATAGTATTCAAAATAATCACGCAAGAGATTTTTGGACTTTCAAACATTATAGAAACTAAGCACATAACAGATAAACAAGTCAGCTACATAATCAATAATGTCTTAATACCAATCTTTGAATATCGAATACATAATATTGTTATACCTCATAGTACTTGCAACAAACTCCTCTCAAAATACCTCACTATAGCTAAACACAAATCAAAGCTACCAACCACAATACCTAGTAGTACTATGCTTAATCATAATATATATGGCATTAAAAATGTCTGGGATATACAACTACAACATCACATCAGCAACTTTATGTTGCGGCTTAATGATACTAACCTCCTTGGAGCCAGCACACAAATTCGCTTACAACAACTACAAAATAACCTCTGGTCACCTACTAATATCCTGCAACACCCCAACCCTCTTATTGATGGAGCCAATAAACAAACTACAACTTTTCATATTATTCAACTGCTCCGCTATATAAATACTACAATATCAGCCTTCAATATGTCACCATACACATTGCAATATCCTTATACACCACTCGAACCATTACTTAACACACATACAGGATACGCTAATTTCAAAAAACAATTACGTACAAAACACATCCTATATCTAGAACAATTAACCTCGTACGACAACAGCACTTTACTTGACTGGGAACACATCTCACCAAGACTTAACAAAATCCCTACAGGTCGAAAACCAAAGTGGTTTTGTGCTCTAGAGAGTCAAATAATCACTAATCTACAAACCAGATCCATTGACCCACAGCTCAATCTTTCACAAACTAATTCTATAGCTTTTACAACAGGACACTATACTTCCCAATCA